CAGTAAAGAGTTTGAAAAATGTCATTCTAAAATTGGAGGTTCTGTAAGTAACCCCTTCTTTCTTTCTTTCTTTCTTTATCTCTATATCTTCTCTGTTTTTGTGTTTTAGTAGAAGTTGATATTTCTAGGTTGTGCATCCCAAGCTTAATCACTAGTCTGAGGTCTTATTTGTCACATCCAAAACTTAATCCCCAGTCAAAGGTGTTAGTACCGATATCAAGCTGAATAATTGGTTTCATATTTATGATAATTATAGTATAGCTTATGTATTTACATGATAGAATTAATATTCAAAATTGGTCCCGTTGGTCATGTTATGTATGTTTATACCTGATTAAACTGAAACTCTTTTGGTCTAGTCATATGCTTCTGTTGCAACTAAAGAAGTTGAGAATAGTCAATCTTCATAGTTACTATATTGTTTATCTAAACAACAATTACTCCAATTTTGGATTGGGGAGAATTGGACTGGGAGTTTATGGGGTTTTCTTGGCATTATTTCCTTTGTTTAATACCACTTTCCTCATTCTATTGCCCTTCTTTCTGCTTTCTTTTGCTGTAATTCTAATATGAGTGAACGCATGTCGGTAGCTGTAAAAGAGAATCTAGAAGGCCGTTATGAAAGATCAGTCATGCTATTGCTTGCATTTGCTCTGCGAGCTAGATATGATGTTAGTTCAACTTTTATGTGCTCTGAGGTCTGAATTTTGGATGAATACTGTTTTATTGTGCAGGACTTGCCCAAACTTAACCGGTGTACAGAATTATTGTCCATGAATGAGGAGCTGAAACAAGCTCGGAAGGCTTTTGAGGTCGACGAAGAGAAATTAGCTACACTTGAGTGACGGGGAGAATATAAATTTATGATCTTACTTCAGAATGCCAAATTGAGTGGGGCACCTTAGGGACTAGTATACAATCTGCTCCTCATTTTCCAAACAGAAGTGTAAATAACTGTTGTCACAGTTTTCTCCATCCCAATCAGATGACAGTGTCACCTTGTATATGTGCTTAGAGGCTAGAGCTACCTAGTCTTTGTTCTAGTTACCTATCTTTGAACATGTTTTTCCTCTTTGTTCCCAGTTCTCAACATCCTCCTGTGTTCAGTTTATATCTTGCTTCTGCTCAGAGTGCAGTTCATTGGTTATTTTTTATCAGAACATACAGGGCGACTAGCTAATTGGACTTTCATGCCTGCTTCATTAGATCCTCCGCACTGATGAAATCAGTTTCGTAAGTGCTCTTTTGATGCATTGAATCCACCCCCATATACTTGAAGAATTTGATCCAAGGGCAGCTGATCGTGTCATTTATCTACTATTTTTTTTTTGTAGATTTGCATAAACTGAATGTTTGAGTCGGAATGACACTCAAGTTAGTGGATTTGTTTAAATCTGTTTAATACGCCAAAGAACCTACAAAGATTTGTAAAAATGTGAAGGGGTATGGGCTTGGCATCGTACTGAAACCTCCCACATGTGGCATTATTAGACAATCCATCAAAACCACTAAATTAACTAACAATGAGGCCGAGTACGAGGCCATGATTGCAGGTCTCGAGCTAGCTAAAAGCCTGGGAGCAGAGGTCATTGAAGCCAAATGTGACTCTGTACTAGTGGTAAACCAAGTAAACAAAACTTTCGAGGTTCGAGAAGATAGGATGCAAAGGTATTTGGACAAATTATAGGTAACTCTACACCGTTTTAAAGAATGGACCCTACAACATGTTCCTCGAGAACAAAACTGTGAGGCCGACGCACTCGCAAATTTGGGGTCATCGGTCGAGGAAGATAAGATCGACTCGGGGACTGTCGTTCAGCTCTCGAGATCCGTAATCGAGGATGGAAATGCCGAAATAATTCCACGAGCTTAACCTGAGATTGGAGGAATAAGTACATTGAATATTTAAAGAACGGAAAACTCACATCGAACCCTAAAGAATCGAGTGTTCTACGAACCAAGGCTGCTCGATTCACGTTGGTTGAAGATGGAACATTATACAGAAGGACGATCGACGGACCACTGGCGGTATGTTTAGGACAAGGAGACACCGATTATGTTTTACGAGAGGTTCATGAAGGCACTTGTGGAAACCACTCTGGCGCCGAACCATTAATTCGCAAAATCATCAGAGCAGGGTACTACTGGGATAGCATGGAGAAGGATACTAAGGAGTTCGTTCGAAAATGTGATAAATGTCAAAGGTTTGCACCGTTGATCCACCAACCCGGAGAGCAGCTTCATTCGGTCATTTCTCCATGGCCATTCATGAAATGGGGAATGGATATCGTCGACCCTCTACCATCGGCCCCAGGTAAAGCTAAATTCATTCTGTTTATGACTGACTATTTCTCTAAATAGGTTGAAGCACAGGCATTCCAAAAGGTGAGAGAAAAAGAGGTTATAGATTTCATATGGGACCACATCGTGTGTCGATTTGGGATACCGGCAGAAATAACATGCGACAGTGGTAGACAGTTTATCGGCGGCAGAGTGACGAAATTCATCGAAGACCATAAAATAAAAAGAATACTATCTACACCATATCATCCTAGCGGGAACGGACAGGCCGAATCAACGAACAAGATTATCATCAAAAACATAAAGAAAAGATGGTTGACTGTGTTGAAGGTGTATCAATATCCAGTCATCCATTGGTGATTCCAACTTTGGATAAACTACATTTGACGAAGATGGAA